CCCCAAAACCCCAAAACCCCAAAACCCCAAAACCCCTGTTTCATACTAAAATTTAAAAATAAATAATAAAATCTAGAAAATGTATTTGCCAATTTAACCAAAATATAGGAAAAATTTTTCCAAAAAATCCTCAAAGACCCCAAATCAGGCAAATAAAGTCTTGAAGGGGCCGAAGCGGCCGCTTTGCCCTCTGCAAGCTTACACTGAGTATGTCCAATCTTTACCCATAGAGAGATGATCACTCTTGATAAGTACAAGAATTGGAAGTTCAAGCGTCTACATAAGTATGCAGGAACTCCTTCTTCAGAGCACAAATCTGAAGCCTCTAAAATGCCTAAGCCCAGATTCATAAATAAAAGCCAGAGGATTGCTAGAGAGAACAAGGACAAGCACATGAACTTTAGTCGAGAAGAGTAAGCTTCCTAGGGCTCAGCATTGGGAGTTGCTGAAGCCTAAACATCTGTGGTAGCTTTATTAGTAGATTTATGCTAAAAGCGGGTTAGAAATTCCTAATCAAGAGGCGGATAAACCTCTTCCTTCATCTTTTAGTGAGGTTGTACAGCAACCAAGTAATATTCTTGATAATATTAATCATTTTTCTAAATCTAGTTTGAAAATTGATGATCCAGAAGAGGGACCTTTAAAACCACTCGTGTCGAGGAAGACCCTAGATGAGAATAGAAGGAAATTATACACAAGTGAGGTTGCTAAGAGAAGTACCAAGTAAGCCTAGGAGCTCACAGTTTAGACTCCAAAAAGACCCGATAGATTACATGCGATTTAAATTTATTAAGAACGGTGTTCGTAAAAGACCAATGACTTATAAAAAGACTAAGAGGACTTCTAAGAGGAGCCACACTACTTTACGAAACTTGAGTAACTTTACAGGGAGGATGAAGTCAAAGCATCCTCTAATGAGGCATATGAGACACCCGCTCAGGTCCTCTCTAGATCATTTGACATTTAACCAGATCAAATTAGAAAGGATAAAGCAAGAAAGAAGAATCGAACAGGCTCAAAAGAGATGAATGGCACTCAAAAGCAACCATGACTATATTGATAATAAAGTTGATTTCCAGATAAAGACCTCCTTCACATCTGCTAACTCTACTAAGGTAGGCATCCGGCTCGGAAAAGAGCATAATAGCCTTGGAAATATCTCTGAAGGGAACAACATTTTCGAGCAGGACCAGACACTAGAAAAGGATGATAAACAAGACTCTGAAGAAATAGAGAGTAATCCTGCTATCTTTAGTATAGATAATATACAGCCTGAAGAGCCTGATCACGCTCAACGGGTTCAGAACACTAGTTTTTCACCCTCATCTCAGGCTAATAATGGGTTTGTTAAAATCCAAAATGGCAAGATAGCGCCTTTAAAAATCAGGACTAAATGCGCTGCCCTTCTACAATACGAAAAGAAGCGGAAGAGAGCCCAAAAGATTCGTGCCCAGAGTCTCGCCTTTGACAAGATCTCTAAGAAGAGGTCTAATCAAGAGAGGAAGCGGAAAGAGAGGAAGAGGAAGCTAGTCCAGTCTATGGAGGAGAAATCTAAAATGATAATCGAGCAAAAATAAGAAAGGTATTCACATATTCTAACTTTCCAGCGAAGCATGATGAACTTAAGCTAAATGAGTGGATGACGATCCAGAACGAGCTTTCAGCCCTGGCCAAAAGGAATGCGCAGATGGCTAAGATTACGAAGATGCAGCAGAGATTGAAGAAGAAGATCAAGACTAAGCAAGAGCAATACTCTGAGTTGATTGATCACTTCTAAGAGGGATGTTGAATGTAGCTGGCAATTGCCACAAGTCCTCTATTAAAGACCCTTCAGTTTTTGGAATTTGAACTGGGGTTTTGGGGTTTTGGGGTTTTGGGGTTTTGGGG